ACCTAAACCCCATTGTGGTGGTTTTAAGGTGGGGCCTTTTGGGAAGTGATAAGTCATGAGGGTTCCACCCTCAAGGATGGTATTAGTGTCCTTATAAAAGAGGTTGAAGGGAAGTGCCTCACGCTTTGCTCTCTGACACCTTGTGAGGACGAAAGGACAAAGCGCCACCTATGGGGCAGTCAGTGACAACTCACCTGACACTAAATCTACCCCAGCCTTGATCTTGGACTTCCCAGACTCTAGAACTGTGAGAAATAAATTTCTATTATTTATAACTCACTTAGTCTAAGGTATTTTATTACAGTAGCCCAAACAGACTGAGACACATTTGAGAACTGATACATTTGGTCCTAAAGCACTTTTCTAGTCTTATTTCCTGTTGTTGCCCTTCATATAACTCATGCTGTAGTCAAACTATATTCTATTTCTAAAAGTAATTTTTATTAGTTTTTTTTCTTTTTCTTTCTTTTTTTTTTTTTTAAGAAACCATGCTACAATTGCCAGTAACTAAAGAAACCAAGAGAAACAAATGGCAAATAATTTTAAGTTATCTGATCCCTGGGAATTACATAACTTACCAAGCAATGCACAGCAATAAGATGGGCAATCCTCAGGCTCATTAATTAATTCAACTAGTATTTGCCAAGAGTCTACCATGAGCCAGAGACTGTCATAAGCATGGTGCAAAGCCTGGAAGAGTAGGCACCTAGTATATAACTGAGGAAGAGAAAAGTCCAGAAAGGCAGGGTCAGAGGAGAATGGAGACCTAATTCTACAGAGGATGGGAGAATGAGATCTAATTCTACAGAGGATGGAGGGCTAGCTTATGGTGGTCCCTTTAAGGATCAATAGATTTTTTTTTTTTTTTTTACTTTATCTTACAGACTGTAAGAAGCTACTGATCTTACTTGTGGTTTTACAAAAATGACTGGGGCTGCAAAGTGAAGAATAATTTGGAAGGGAAAGGTATGGCTCAAACACAGCACGTGAGATGAGGGTGGCTTGGACTAAGGTGGTGGCTAATGTAGACAAAAGGATGTAGACACTTAGATATTTGGGAGATAAAAATACCCATTGGGATTCTGTGGATAAAGAAATGGCCCAGAAAAAGAGTCAAGGCTGACTATGGCTTCTGGCTTGAGCAGCTGACAGATGGATGGGCCACGACCTGGACGAGTGTATTTTCGTGGTGGATTATTCTGAGGTATGAGCATGTTGAATTTACAAGGCTTATGAGATGGCTAATGGGTTTGTGAAGTAGACAGTTGGATCTACCCAGGTCTCTTTCCTAGGCTTCAGACCTTTAGAAAGATAATAATTAAAACTGTAGGAATGGTTGAAATTGCTTGAGGAATGCTGAGTGAGATCAAAGGAGAGACTAGGCAGAGCTGAAAAAATACCCACAAATAGCAGGTGTAAGACTTCTTTTCCCCAAGTTATCACAGTACCAGGTAAACAGTTCTACTTCAAAATTTAAAGCATTCCTTTATGATTGTTTGTCTTCCTTAACTAGCTTCTGAGTTGCCAAGAGGCATGGCATGAATTGTCTCTTCCTTGTTCAGCTCCAAAATACCAGTGGCTTAAAGCTTAGTGCCAGCCGCACAATAGCCCCTCGAAATATGTGTGCTGAATGCTTGAATGAGTGAACGAATACACTTATTTGCCCAAGAAGATATTACACTATCAAAAGATCTATTTAAATCCTATAACACAAAAAACAACCTGATTGAAAAATGGGCAAAGGACTTAAATAGACAATTCTCCAAAGAAGATAAATGGCCAGTAAGTCTATGAGGAGGTGCTCAACATCATTAATCTTTAGGAAAAGGCAGATAAAAACCACAATGAGATACCACTTCACACCTAACAGCATGGTTTCTAGGAAAAAGACCACAGAAAATAGCAAGTGTTAGTGAGGACATGGAGAAACTAGAATCCCTGTGCAATGTTGGTAAGAATGTAAAATGGTACAGCTCTGCTATGCAAAGAATATGACAGTTCCTCACAAAATTAAAAACAGAATTACCATATGATCTAGCAATTCCACTTCTGGGCACATATCCAAAATAATTAAAATCAGGGTCTCAAAGAGCTATCTGTACACCCATGTTCATAGCGGCATAATTCACAACAGTCAAAAGATGGAAGGAACCTAAGTGTCCATCAATGAATGGTAAACAAAATGTGGTATATACATACCATAAAATATTTTTCAGCTTTACAAAGAAAAAAATTCTGAGACATGCTACAACATGAATGAACCTTGAGGAAATTATGCTAATGAAATAAGCCAGTCACAAAAAGAGAAATATTGTATAATTTCATTTATATAAGGTTTGTAGAGACAAACTCCTAGAAAAAGATAGTAGAATGGTGATTGCCACAGACTGGGGAGGAGGGAAACAGGCAGTTGTTGTATAAAGGCTACAGAGTTTTAGTTCTGCGATATGAGAAAGTTCTGGAGATTGGTTGCACAATAATATATGAAATTAAATAATTCAAACTTGAAATAATTCAAACCTAAAGCTGTTAGAAACTTTAAATTATTCCTTGAGCCTTGAGAAGAACGTGGCTATGCAGCCTGAGTCAAGTGGCCTGCAGCTGCAACTTCTGCCTTTTTCTCCCCTGTAAATAATTATGATCAAATGTTGCCGGAATAAGACCCCCTCAGATCACTGCCCCTCTTCATGGAGTAATAAAGTAATCTTCCTTGGAATGTAGCATTCTGTAACTAGTCAAATCATTGTAACATATGCACTAGTCTCATAAGGAAAATGCTGTAATCCTGCTAAAATTTCTCTGTCTCTGTCTATGGATGTGAAACCTTAATGTCTCCATTTTGGAATGCTGACTCCATTTGTCTGGAGTCGGTGTCTGCCAGATGGTCATCCTCAAGTTTTGTGATCAAAAATCTCTATAAATTAAAATCCTAAGGCCCCCCCAAACCCTGCTGATGGAACAACCTCCCTCCCCCATTGGCCAAAGGGACCTCAGAAAAACCTTAAAACTGAGTTCCCAGCCATGAAGGGAAGGGAGGTTGCACCATCCCCTTATTCCTCCCTTTTGGTGTTTAGACTAATTGCAAACTAGAACCAAGGCCATGCAAAGCAAAGGTGAAGTCACACCTACAGGCCATCAATTTGCTTAACGGATCACTTTGAATATATTATGGCTTGTACTGAAGCATTCCTTTCTACTGACTCCAAGTCTTTAGACAAAGCTTTATTTCTTTAGCCAATTACAAATCAAAGAATCTCTGAACCCATCTATAACCCATAAGCTCCCACTCTGAGGTGTCCCACCTTTTTGGGCTAAATCAATGTATACTTTCTATGTATCGATGTATGATTTTACCTGCAATTCCTGTCTCCCTAAAATGTATAAAACCAACTGTAACCCCCCCCACCCCCTCAGGACCAGCTACTCAAGGCTTCTTGGGTGTAGGCCAAGAAGGCCATTGGTCACTCAATATTTGGCTCAGAATAAAACTCTTTAAATAATTTTATAGAGTTTGGGTTTTTTCTGTTAGCAACTCTATATTTAATAGTTTAGAATCTCATTATTTAAGGTTGACAAATATACTTAATACTACTGAACTGTACACTTAAAAATAGTTAAGATGATGAATTTTATGTGTATTTTATCACAATTAAAAGAATATTTAAATATTTAAATAATTCATACCTTCATCTAATTATAAGTTTCCCCAAATCTGTTACACCTGCCACACTGGTGAACTGCATGAGGTTAGGCCGTAAGAAGATTCTTGCTTGTTAACACCTCCACCAGTTGTCAACTCCCTCCCAGACCTGTCTCTGTTCCACTCTGCTGAGAATTTCATCCTCCACTACAACTGACCCAGAAATGGACTGGTCTAAAGATTTCTGAGAAATAAAAACAAATAGAAAGGGGCCCACCTGTGCATACTTTCTTAAAGATTTTTAAGCTTTTTTTTGGAACTTATTGTTTAATAATAATTCAGTTAAAATGTAAAAGTACATCCCTGACATAACAAACATAAAATCAGAGTGTGATGGGTTTAGGACATGCCACCCCCAAATATGACTGCAGGGGACCAGAATAAGCCACACCAAATATGCCTCCTAGGCATATGGATAGTTGTGAGCTGGTTATTTTGAGAAACTGCAAACATAGGGAAAGCTCTGAAAAGTTACCCTTTTGTAAGAGAAATTTATATCTATAAAGGAAATCTGCATTTGTAGGGATGTTTTCATCTTTGCACCAGGTAGAAAAGGATGACTGAATTGCCTGGAGACTCTTAATCAAAGGAGCAGGCATGGACTTCAATCTGCAGAACAAACTCCACCCATGTTTTATGAGATTTCTCTAATCTAGGCTGTTTGCCATACCATTCTTTCTACATTTCAGCAAAGCATTTAAGTCTAAGCATTAAGTCTAAGACAAGCTCTTGAGATGCTCTCTACGGATTTACTCATTTCTCTGGGTTAACTCCCATGTATACAGGAGGTGTACATGTCATTAAATTTCCGTTTTTGTTTTTCTCTTGTTAATCTGTCTTTTGTTACAGGGATGGTCAGCTGAGAACTCACAGAGGGTAGTGGGGAAAATTATTTTTCCTCCCCTACAAGTGAATACCTGAAGATTCAGCACTCACTTCTGAAAGTTTCTGGTTTCTACTCCAGACTGAAGATAAACATCAGCTCACTCAGCTTCACTATCCACTCACTTGACTGGTAAATGGAATAAAGCATTCTGGTTAAAAAGCAAAAACTGCTTTTCCCCTTATTTCTCCTAGTTTACACACCACAGTTTAATTGAGGTAAAAAAAAAAGATTAAAATAAAATTTGGCAAAGATAATTACGATAAGTATAATCTACTCATGAGTATTTAACAGAAACTTGGGGGCGGGGGGATACAAGCATAGTAGTGTCATTTCTTGAAAACAGGCCATGGTGAAAATGTACCTATTTCTTAGGAACATGCTCACCTGCACAGGTGTGTCTTAGGACGCACTCACCTGCACAAGTGTGTCCAGTGTGAAGATGTGCTCCCCACGAACGTTGTAGAACTTGACCATGGCACTCTTCAGAAGCGGACCATTGGCAAGCTCACCAAGCTGGGCCTGCCGTTCCATCCCAGCGACTGCCAGTAAGTCCCCCTGTGTGCACCACTGGGCCACAACCTCTGAAATCCCAAGGAAGAAATGGTCAGCACAAGGACATGGGACTTTGTCTACTATCACTCAGCAAGGCTATTGTTTGTTTTCAGTATTTTAAAACATACAGAGTCTAAGCGAATACAACAGTGGCTCTTTCCCGTTCTCTGAAGGAAATAAGGACCTATTTCTCTAAAGACGATACAGACTCTATTAAAAATAGGTGTTGGTTACATAAATGGTGGATTGTAGCTCCCCTGAAACCTAACTAAATCAGGCAGAAACTTAGAATAATAAAGCTGGCATGTTAAATATCTATCTCCAATACCATCACTTCCATGAGGCTTGTACAACTTATTTTTAGAGAAAGCAAAATAATAAAACCTATGACTGTACATGATGTAAGTGCTCGTTCCACTGCTGTGTCTTCCACTCCCAGGTATGATTCAGATAACTTATAAATGCTAAGAGTAAAAAGTAAATCAAAAGCAAAGCCTAAGTTTCTATTCATCTGATCTCTGGGCACCACTGGGAAGATACGCTCAGATAAGGGACGTGCGTGTACAAGAGGGCCCTGTTATTCGACATCTGATGACCTTGTGGGGGCTTAGAAAAGAAGAAAAATACTCCTGCTGGGTGATAGTACTGCTAGAGAACTTTCCACATGGAGAGTCAGTGCCCACCTACAAGCCATTCAGTGCCTAGAAGAAAAGGCTATTAAATGGTTTATCTTATCTCAATGTGAGTTTCACTTATTTCTTGCTGGTAAAAAAGAAGCTCTTAGTACTAGTAAGATTTATGGCATACTTTTTTTTCCTCCCTCAGGAGCCTAAAACTATAATCTGGTTTATACAGAGATCTCTGAAATCTAGAACTAAGTGGCTCATTTTGCAGAGACGCTGAAGGGAATCTGAAGAAAACGCCCTGCCACCACGGGCATGGATTTGACAGCCAGGGCCAGAGTTCAGCAGTTCCCGAGCTTCATCAGCTCACAAGTGACCACAACATCCCTCTTGTTCATGTATGGTCATCATTTTACGCCACCATCAGTATATTCTGAGGTCACTGATGTTCTTTGATTTCCTTGGAAAACTGGAGCTTGTTCCCTGGGGCAAGAAGTTCTTCCGTAGAACTGCTCATAAAGTTAGCCACAGAGCAGAAGCTCAGGGGACAAAGAGGGCCGAGCCAAAGCCAGTACAGACAAACACAAAATGGAAATACCGCCAGCAAGCTGGAATAGTAAAAGCATCCATAAAGGGTATCCCCTGTTTTTTTCTAATAAGAAATAAAGTTAAGTACAAATATGAATAAAGTTCATATTTGAATAACATATGAATAAAGTTAAGTACAAACCAGGAAATGAAAACTCACATAAAAGAACTCAGTAAACATCCCGGTGAGTATTTCTGTGAAGACGGGAGGGAGAGCCAGAGGACGTGTGCACACACTAACTGTGTTCCGGACACGCAGCGCCCAGACCCACCTTGAGGAAAACCTGGTCACAATCATGAGACGGAAATGACCTCTCTGACAGCAGCTTTGGGCACACAAGGAAACCAAAAGGAGAGGCCACTAACCTCAACATGCAAAGAAGTAACAAGTATGCCAGAGTCTACGGTTTCTTAAGACAGAAACGTCACTGTAATGTTGCAGAAATAAAGATGACAGCACCAATTCCAAGGCTCCTCACCTGACCTGCTTTGGTTAGTGGGTGAGTCAATAACTTCCATTCTTTCATTTATTTTTAAAATAAAATTATTTGAATTGTGTCACAAGGTAGAAAACGAGGACAGACGAAATAAACCCTGGGCACTCGGGGGACTCTGCTTACTAGACAGGTAAGAATGAGACCAAATGTTTGTGAGCAGACTCTCTGAGACTTCTCCAGCACAGCTGCGGTTATACTGAGACAGCTGTCATCCCCAAAGGCAAGTCACTCTTTTAAAAAAGAGTACATCCCATATAAATAATGCCATTTCTTGTTCTGACGATTATAGAATCAGTAGCATCAGGGGATACAGTAACAGAGGTGGGCTCCTCTGAGGTTTGGCATAAACCAGCCCTGCTCGCAGGATGGCACACCAGTCACCAGGGAAACAGGCCGTCACCTACAAGCCCGACGCAAAGACTTCAGGAGTAGCACTGAGGAAGAACCACCTTCAACTGTTCAGTGTCAACCCAGGGTACGTGAGTACCCTTCCAGGAGCTGAATTCCTAGGGTTGGAGATTAAAATTCTCATAAATAATGGGAAAATGAAAGTAAAAGCAAACATACATTCGATATCTAGATGTTACTATGATGAAGAAAAGGACATAAAAGTCTTGCTATGGTCAGGACAGAATTTTTCTGTTTCAGAAATTTTTTATAAAAACTATGTCTGTCTTATTTTAAAAAATAATCCCCAATATCTTTGCCCAAGGTTCTGTAATAATTTTATATGTTCTAATCTCTAAAAATTTGTTTTAGAATACAACCTAAAAGGAACCAGCTAATGCTCTATTCCGTAGCCCTCCTTCCCCCTTTCCTGAAGCTCTTGTCATGGAGTCTCTAGCACTTCCCATGCAGGGATACAGGTAGTTCCAAAGCAGAGAAGCCGTCCATCCTCCTGAAGCACCTATTTTTCTCAATGATTTTGGGGTATGTTTCGGTTTTTGGCCTCTTACATATTTTACACAAAGAAAATCAGCAGATGTACCTTATTCTACTTCAGCCAGACAGTCTTATGGGTCTTTTTTGGTAAAAGCCTGGAAAGTCATTTATAGTCAGAGATAATGAACATTTGATTCTATTGTGTTAACAAGAAGCCCCTTGTGTGGTATTAGTGCTGGTTCAAAAAGAGGCAGCCAAGTTTTAATAGGAAAAAAGTGGTGCTCTTATCAAATACCAGATATTGCAGCTAACGCTTCCTCTGTCCCTTAGCTTACCATGTCAATGATTTACCTCTTCATAAGTCATTAGGTACTCGCGCGCACACACGCATGTGCGCATGCATGGGGGGAAGATAGAAACAAATTAATTGGCAAAATGTGTGATGGTAAAATAATAGGCAAAATTTTTTTTTTTTTAGACAGTCTCACTCTGTTGCCCAGGCTAGAGTGCTGTGGCATCAGCCTAGCTCACAGCAACCTCAAACTCCTGGGCTCAAACAATCCTCCTGAGTAGCCTCCCGAGTAGCTGGGACTATAGGAATGTGCCATCATGCCTGACTAATTTTTTCTCCATATTTTTTTTTAGTTGGCCAATTTATTTCTCTCTATTTTTAGTAGAGAAGGGGTCTCGCTCTTGCTCAGAGCTGGTTTCGAACTCCTGACCTTGAGCAATCCTCCCGCCTCGGCCTCCCAGAGTGCTAGGATCACAGGTGTGAGCCATTGCCACGGCACAAATTATTTTTCTTTAAGAAGTGTGTCTCAAAAGAACAACTGTATGGTCAATCAATAGCTTATGTTATTTTAATGAACTAAAAAAAAAAAAAAGTAGCATGTGTTTAGTGAGCACAGAAAGGCCTGAGAAGAATGGCATGTGTTCAGTGAGGACAATGGTGACAAATCAGTACCAAGGCCAGCTGCAGGAGCAGACAACACCATGGGCTAAAACCACCCCAACTCAAAAATTGCCTGATTTTCTTAGTGTGCTCAACGAAATGATAAAAAGAGAATAATTCTGCAAAAAACCCAAAAAAAACCAAAACCAAACAAAGCTCAGGGGGTTTGAGCGCAGGGGGAGATAAGAAGCACCTCTGAGGTTTGCTTTACCACTGGGACACAATTGGCTTGGGGAGGGAATTTCTGGACTCGTGACTGAATTGTTTTCCTCAAGAAAGGGTCAAAGTCACAACAAAGGATAAAAATCCCAAGTAAAGTGAATTAATTCAGTACTTATCGCGTGATGCACTTAAGTTCCCAAAGTGGAGTTACTCGGCAGATTTTCATCCACAGCAGAACTTCTTCAGCCAACACCGCAAAACAAAATCAGACCCCGCCAGCCTGGCCCTGGCCCCACACACAGATCTGCAGTGAAAACCAAGTGTCTGCCTGATGCAGTAGAGGGCTGGTCACGGGACTAGGAGCTATTTGGGATTCTAAGTTCTTTTGCACATGACGTAAATTACATGTTGGAGATAAACGAAAGGATCTCATAAGTCACCTTTCTTCCCTGGAAAAGTTCTTTGATGATTTTCCTTTGAGAAAGCACGAGAGAAAAACCAAGCGTATCTGAGACCCTTTTAGTCCACCTATGAGACGAGTGAATGACCTGTCTATAACAGAGCAGATGACAGCATTCTGTGCCAACAATGACAGCATTCTGTTTATCTCTTCCCAGCATTCACTAACATAGCCCATAGGTAGCAGATAAAGAATAAATTATAAAAACAATAACAACAAAAAATACTGCTGCTCACACCACATGTAAGACGGAGTCCTTAAAATATTCTGATACCAAGACAGAAAAGAGAAATTGCCTACATACATCACCGTTGGGACACAGAGAAGGAGACCCCCAAGTACGATGCTCTGGCATGCTGAGCACTCTGAATTAAAAGAAACTGAAAGGCCTTAGAAGCTGCCTTAGAACCAAAGACTTTCTAATCTTCTCTTATTTCCCCCTTATTTTCCTAGCACAGAGAGAAACTCTCTCTGGAATTTCCTTATCTAAGGAAATTTCTTTCCAAAAGAAATGCAATTGTCTTAAGACTTCCCTCCCTAGGAAACTCATCAAATAACCAGGAAAGATTTAACCACTCCAGATAGACTTTTCATCTGTTCTGAGGGCAGCTCTAGGATGTTGCCTGGGAGATTTCCTATATACAACCAGACCGGCCCTGTTCACAGCGCAGCTCTGCCCTCCGCCGCCCCCAAACCTGCCAGTCCCATTCCGTTTCTAAGAGAATCCTAATGTTTGGCTCTTAGGTCCACTCATTTCCCCTAAAAATCACTTACTACACATCACAATTGCCTACTCTCTCCACCCCCATTTCCCTCTCGCCTATGAAAAGGGTATATAAGCTTTAACCATCTGGCCTGTGGGTCTCACATTTTATGTGGTTCTAGTGCTTACACATGTTAATAAATTTATATATCTTTTCTCCTATTTATCAGTAGAGTGTCCATCGTTTCAGGGAGCCCTCAGAGGGGATGGAAGGGAAGCTTTTCCTCTGCCCCTACAGCACCTGTTGGATGGCACCCAGTCTGTTTCATTTTAATCTAACGTTCTGAAACTAGGAATACATGGTACAAAACCCTGTCCCCCAGCGCAAGTGTAAAACGATTAAAGTTTTTAGATTAGATCTAGGCTTCTAGCTAGGTAATGACTAGAATGCTAAATTTGCCTGTATCTTTAGAATAAACCTTAAGGGAAAAATTTTCACATCTGGAAGGGCTACTTTGGGTTCCCTGCCCCATGCACCTCTCATGCGTTCCTATTCCCATCCTGCACATGTGGTTGGAACATGCTAGAAGTGCTTGCTCCAATACAACCTGGTTTGATAAGCACAGTACAAATGATACATTCAAGAAGTAAAAAATAAAGTTTCCATAAGCAAGGCAGTGAAAAATTAGAAAAATTCACCCAGTAAAGACTAAAAAGGAACTGAGTGGTAAGTATATTATTTTTAGCCTGGACCAGATATTTGGTAGAGAACCAAAGTTCAGGATTCCAGAACTAGAGACAGGTTCTCAAAAAATCAATACATTTAAGGTTTGAAATGGAATTTTCAAGAAAAGAAGTAGAGCCTAAATTAGAAAATACATGAGAGACTTTATGATGACCATCCTTGTATTCTACCTCCATGAAAAATAGAACATCTAGAAAACAATTTACAGAAAAGCTCAAGGAATTTAAGTTTATCATCATCACAAAAAATACTTACTCAGCTCCTACTGGGGCCTATTTGCAGTATAAAGAAGGACTTCTTCTACATAGTTCACGTCCCTCAGGAGTTTAGAGACCAAATAATCCCTTACAATTACAGTTCTGAAACAGAATGGGATACTCAAAAGAGGGAGTATAATTTGCTTCTAAAAATACTCTATAGTTTTAAATAGAATTAGTAAGAGCTTGGGGGGTATGGGGCAGCTATGATTCTTGCCAACCACCGGTTAGGTAGATGGACTTGATTCTTTACATCTGGTCATTCCTGAATAATTCAGACCAGCAGGAGCAACCCACAGCAATGACTCTCTAGACTGATAGCCAGCTTGGAACAACAGTAACCAGTTGTACCAAAGATGCCAGCCTGTCTTCCACCACATGCAGATTATAGCAGGCCCCTTAACAGCAAGAGCCAGAGGCAGTCTAGGAAGTGAATTTTCAAACTTTTCTACATTGCACCATTCAGTTCTGAAGAGACAGATTGTTTTTCCAAAGAAGTCACTAGGGTCACAACATTAGTAGTACTCCTTAACTGCAAAATTCAGAACATCCTGAATGCCTACATCCACTGATTTTATCCTGAGATAACACCACTTCCTAACACCTACCAGGAAGGCACCAGCACTTGACTGCTGCCCTGCACATCAATGCCTCAGTCTGGTGACTGCTGCCCCTCCGCAAGTCCTTCAAGGTAACTTTATTGCACAATGATCAGTTCCTTAATGAGCCTGCCAGATTCTTAAAATTATAAGGGCTTCTGTGTAAATGACGTCTTGTGTACCATCTGCTGCCTCATGAACGGCAGGTGCTGCAGTCCGGTTATTGTGCACACACCGTGTAAGCCAGATGCAAACACACCTGTACACCGGAGAGAGCATCATTATTGCTGTAGCAAGGAAAATAAACAGGGTAAGATGAAACTGAATGTCAGGAATCCCTCCTCCAGACAAGACTAGGTATCTACTTGTCCGATAAGCAAAGGGGCTAAGGGGAAGTGACCTTAGTTAGTGGACTCCATTAAGCCTAGGAGGGGTCCCTGCAGAGGGCGGAAATCAGTATTGGGTGCATGACGCCACCTGGAAGGTACACGCACAGGGCTGCTCTGTGGGGAAGGGCGTGTGCAGTGGTCCATACCTTTCAGCCCTGAGCGGATGACAGTGGGCGACAAGTCATCATAGTTGTTCATTAAGCTGATGTCTCCCGAGGTGAAGCTGACGGTGAGCAGAGGCTTGATGTTCTGCACCGGGATGGGGTATGCTGCTGGGCCATCTGCAGGACACAAGTGCAGAGTGAAAATGAGGCAACAAGTATTCGCTCCAAATCCAGGTACCACAGGTTGCAGTCCTGCGTGGTGCCTTAAAAACTGCCTGAGAATGCAGATGTGACTCTGGATTGGGGTGTTACCAAATAAGGCAAATGTTCTACACCATTCGGGGATCACACAGGGCCAGCAGGAGGGCACGGACAGAGAACCCTGGACTGAGAAGCAGGGCAGGGTAGACGTGGCCCTGGAGGCAACTGCAGGGTAGCTGAGAATATGTGTGAGAAGTTTATTGACTTGTATGTTAGTGAGTTATGTGTTCCCAATGATATATAAATATAAATTATTTTAATGTTATATAATATACAAGGATGGTAGGAAGAGAGATGAATGTGGGTTTTTTTTTTTTTGAGACAGGGTCTGGCTTTGTTACCCAGGCTGGAGTGCAGTGGCATCATCACAGCTCACCACAACCTTAAACTCCTGGGCTCAAGTGATCCTACTACCTCAGCCTTCCAAGCGGCTGGGACTACAGGTGCCTGCCACCATGCCCGGCTAAGTTTTTTGTTTTTTTGTAGAGGTGTCTTGCTATCTTTCTCAGACTGGTCTTGAACTCCTTGGCCTCAAGCAATCCTCCTGCCTCCCCCTCCCCCAAAGTGTTAGGATTCTAGGTGTGAGCCACCATGCCCAGCCCAAAATATTTTCTTAATTCTGGTCTAAAACACAGAAAAAAGTTGCTTTTCAATACTAAATGCTCTTTCAATGAATGCTATAAGTAATGAGCAGCCACAACAGCCACCATTAGTTCCTTCTTGCTTAGGTTTTTACCAAGAGGGACGCCTAATGTGGAGAGAAGGCTGAGGCCGGATGTGGCTCATGAAGAACTCTGCTGTATCTTCAATGCATGGCCAGCATACGTGGTAAGTTCAGGGACTCTCTTCCGGATTTTAAGGGGAAGGGCGGTGATGGGCCAAGGACGAGGTCTCACAGGATGTTTGAAAAAGTAAAAGGAAGTCCTTCCCATATACCTGGGTGAATCGGGGCTCTTTCAGGGGACTCTTGTAGGCTTCACAGGCACACTGAGCCCCCCGCAGCAGCTGCCCAGGCTGGGCCTGCCATGTGCTTGCAGATGAGCCCAGTTATTGCTCCCCTTCGCATCACCCCGAGACACCGCATCAGAGCTACCTCTGTGCTCAAATTCCCTGGGCTCCCACCACGAACCCCGGTACCTCTGAAAGGCAACACCCGACATCCTCAAAACTGCCCCACTGCTTCTGAGAAGGGCAACTGGTCAGGGAAGCCACCAGGGACTGAATTCTGTCCCTAGGCTTGCTCTAGATCTGCTTCATAAGCTTGGTCTTGGGACCTTGTTTCTTTCAGTATTAAAATAGGGATAAGTAAGACTGGATTCAACCTACTAAAGAAGAATTCTGCTTTAAAAGTATGCTGAGGCCATGTTTGAAGACACTGGCTTTATAGCTATGAGGCTGTAAAAATACGACCAACACTTCCCTTGTGGCTGGCATTCTATTAGGAAAGGGGGTAGTTAACTCCCTAATGAACTTGTGGGTGTTTCTCCCACAAACACCCTCCCTAGTCCCACTGATCCTAAAATGCTACCACCAATCTTATTTCTCTCATGTGTGAATGCCTTCTCCTAAAATGAATGAATGAATACATGTGCACACACATGTATGCTGCTGCGAAGCACAACACCGTCTGTCTCTGTGACTGGAAGGAGGAAAGGAACAAGAGCACTGCGAGGACCAATGCAGACAGACACCGAAGGGGGAGAACGTTCTTACACTAGTCCTGGGCCCAGCCTTCATGGGACTTGGCCTGTGGGGCAGGAAACGGCTGGAAACCATCCAGCACACGCCCTGTGACCATGGAGGGCACGGCAGCGTGAGCATAGCGGCGCCAAGCAGGCAGAGACCTGCAACAGTGTGCCTGCTTCCAGTCAAGGAGTCCTTCCCTCTCACATTTCATGATACATTTTCCTCTTAAGAGGTGGTTACAGCTAAATAAGAGGAATAAGTTCTAATGTTCTATGCCACTATAGGGTGATTATAGCCAAGAATAAAGTATCGCTAAGTTTCAAGTAGCCAGAACATTCCTAACACAAAGAAATGTAAATGTTTGAGATGCTGGATACACTAATTACCCCGCTCTGATCACTACACATAGTACATATCAAAACACAACTATGTGCCTCACAAGTATGTACAATTATTAAATATCAATTAAGAAAAAAGAAGTGCATGCAGGGGATGGGATATTGGTGAATAATCAAAGCCCTGACTAGACCAATGCTGGACACTGGTTCTGGGAACCAGCTAGGGGTAGAGGAGGCTGGGGCTTGAAAGTACCCCCACCAAGGTATCCAGCACCACCGTGGGGCATACGGAGGCGCACAGGCCTTCTGAAATGAGAGAGGGAGAGCTTCTTCCTGCCTGAAATACAGCAGACAGACAGGGATGTGTAGCTTCTGCCCAAGGTGTGGCCTTCACCATGGCAGACTAATCCTTTCCTCATGCAACTAAAGCTGCAGGCTTTAATAACAGCAGAGATTTGGATATACCACATATTAAATTATATTAACAGCATAAAATTTTTCACCCTTAGCTTTCTTCATTCTCACTAAGCAACTAAGCCTCGCAATCCTCCAGGGACATAGGAAGTGCCAAGCGTCTCATTTCATGTCTAGGAAAGCCTAAGCTGACAGCGTGAAATCAACCAGCCTGGTGACTCGGAGACAAGGGACATCCATCAGAGGGAGACAGGTCAGAGACGTGAGGCCAGCCCTGCCTTGCATTTCCGCTCGAGAGCGCTTCTCAGGGAGTTCGGGTGCTGTGCGTGTGGCAGACGTCACCCTCCCTCCTCTAGAGGGGTCTGTCCCTCTCAATGCGCTCCCGCTTCCTGCTGGCAGATGATAAGGAGGACGGGGCGAGTACCTTGGGGAGGAGCGTAGTCGTCCGAGTCCGTGTCGCTCTCGCTGCTGTCCTCCACCAGGAAGATGGGGTAGTTCCAGGACATGCCCAGGACGCCATCGGACTCATGCAGGAGGACGTGGGCCAGCATCCTGCCGTGGCAGTCCATGACGATCACCTGCCCGTCGGCAGTGCCAAACAGCACCTGCAACCGAGGGGGGCAAGGGTTGTGGTTTCTGGCAAACCTCACTGCCTCAACTTGTTTTAGGAGGATAGAATATATTTAGAACTAAAACAAACAAACAAAAAAACAGTTAAATAACTGAGGAATTTTAGACCTCTAATACAGAAATGTGACTAACTACAGAATGAATATATTATATGTTATATGGACATTTTCAAATAACACCAGTGAAATCACTGTTTCACTATTTGTGGGGATTTTGTTGTTGTTTTGGTTGTAGGAGAGGGACTTAAGAAAGGTAATATTCATTTACATTTCTGGAAAATGAAGAAGTAGCGGAGATTCATTCTTATGATTTTCTCAAATTTAGAAGAGATAGTTTAGGATTAGATTCGACCAAAGAGAAAATACATTTGGTTATGTAATCATGTTACCTAACCACACTGGGAAAAGAAGATGCTCCTGAAATAATGTTTTATTTCTAATATCTAATGTTTATTTCACTGAGACTGATAATGGTATCTATGTATTAATTTATAATTAATTTAATGATGTATCAGTAGTATTAATACATTTAATGAGTGCTTATTTTGTGCTAAAAACTATACCAAAAGCTTTAACTCATTAATCGTCCAAGCTGTGAGTAAGATACTAGTGTTGTTGGTGTGGACCTCAGGTGGGCCTGCCACTTGAGTGTGCTGTGGACTGCTCCTAGGATGTTTTCCTGGACTTCACCAAGCTTGGGCATACGCTCAGGTACGTGACGGCGTGGTGCATACAGGCAGACAGCTAGAGCTAAAGAACGCGGGTATGAGAAGGCTGGACGGGTGTTAACCATCTGCCATGAGAATGGCAAAGGAGCACGTCACAGCTGCTGGAAGCCTCTCTTGGCATGAGTGGCATTATCAGCTGGACATCCTGAGAGGAACCTTGGGACCTGGATGGCAGGAGCTCCACTGGGGAGCACGCTGCATTATTTTCTGCTTTGTGTGATGGTCTCCATAGTTTCTGCGTTTGTTGCCATTAAAAACTTTACATCTTTTGTGTCTAATTAGACTTGTCTACCCATCGGTATCTCACTATAACAACCATGCAAGTGTTATCTCCATGTTGTAGCCCAGAAACACGTCAAGAGAGGTCAAATAAACTGACAAAGGCATGAGGTGGTCAAGCCAGGGCTGTCTGTCTAAAAACGCTAGAATTTGTCCAAAGGGAAAGTGATTTAGGCTTTTTTAGTCCTTGCTTCTTTTGCTTTTGACAATAAGATCCTTGGGGGCAAAGACTGTCCATAGCTATACCCTGGGCACCTAACAGAGCTTTGGGCACACAGTGGGTACTCAATATGTATGGTTAAATGAATGAATTGAACCAACACTCAAAAGGTGATTTTAGGACATACATGCTGACAACTGAGATAGATTAATTGCAAGGGAAAATACATTTCATTTAAGTAGTAGTAAGTTCACAGAATTTACAGAGCTATTTTAGAATCCATCAATCATTCATCAAATATTCCTTTAAACATGATCTATATTTTAATGAATCAACACTTAAAAAGGTTAAAACAATTCCCCCCAGAGGCAGCAATGAATTCATTAGTGTATGCCACCTATAGGAAAGACAGACAAAACTATAAGGAACACAGTGAAATTCATTTCAGAAAACGTTAAAATTTTGGCTGTCAACAGAAAAAAGTAAGTATCTGATGGCATATCTACAAAGCCCTTCTACGACACAGGCAAGGGCACTGAGACTCTGGAGCACAGGCCACGTCTGCTGAAGCCCTGGAAGAGGCAGGCGTTTAATGTGCTCGGTGAGCAGTTTTCAGTGATGATAAACGTGGAACACGACTTCTTTTAATTTTCATTGAGACGCATCACTGGCACATTTATAACTACTCTGATATGTTCACTGTGTGGTCTGCCTCTCACATAGACTGACCATAAGCTTTTTTTTTTCTCAGTTCTTTACTATATAGTTTTTTAAAATGTATTTATTTTTTATTACTTCATATTATGGGAGTACAAATATTGTTAGGGTGACATATCTTGCCCCTGCCCCTCCGACCATAAGCTTTTGAGGACAATGACCGTCACAGACTGCATGTTGACAGCATCACCTACATTCACACGCTGACATTTGGAGGTGGGGCCTTTGGGAGGCAAGCAGGTTTCAATGAGGTCATGGGGGTGGGGCCTCCCTGATGGGACTAGGGCACTTATAAGAGGAGTGAGAGAGGCCTGATCTCTCTCTCTCTCTCTCTCTCTCACTGAGGAAATGCCATGTGAGGACCCAGGAAGAAGGTGGCTGTCTGCAAAGCCAGGAAGAGGGCCTCCACCAGAACTGAACTGACTAGCACTTTCTTTGATCTTGGACTTCCCAGAACCATGAGAAACATAGTTCAAGTCCTGTAGTCTGCGGTATTTCGCTACAGCAACCCGAGCTGAGACCTGGACCATGTGTCAGCTTTGCTCGCCTGGCCTGTATCTCCTGGGGACCCGTCCCAGTGATGACACACAGCATTATGTGCGAAGGGAGGGAGGCAATGCCTCTGTGTAGACGCATTTCTCCATTCTAGAGAAGAACAGATACCAGACAAGAGAATAGACATGTAATTCCTGAATAAAGGATTGGCGATTTCATGAGTTACCAGTGTCAGGATCACGCTAAAGCAAAACAACAAAAAAAAAACCTGCCCCCAAATCCCCCATCATTAATCTAAGCCAGCTACAGTTCCCATGGGGAGAAAATCTACTATTAAGATTGGAAAGAAGAGAGAAAGAAGTACTGACAGTCTAGTTGTCAAGCAAGGATGGAGAAAGTTACTCCATTTTGGAACAAGCATGTCACAGACAACTGAAGAACACTGACACAACATGAAATCAGATTTTTAAAAATCTCCTCCATTACAAGTTCTTTTCATGCCTAATCACTTCCAATGAGATAAAGCTTATGTGAGCCAAGGACTGCAAGAGAACAAGACAGAAGAGTCTAATGATAATGAATACACATATGGCACATGCGATCTCTGCTGCTGCTGCTCCCAAATCCTAGTCATGTGCTGATCGTGTTCTGGACAGGCTGGTGACAGTACCCCCTTCCCAGTCTGTGTCCTCTTCCCGGCTTCTCCATGCTGCTGCTCCTCAGACATGGCCCTGGGCCCTCTTCTCTCTCTTCTCTAGAAGACCACAATCATGCCCACAGCCTCAAGGACCCCGTTCACAGCTGACTCCCTGCAGAGGTCTCTGCCCTGAGCCCCACACTCACACATACAACTGCCTTCCTGTCCTCTTCCCCTGGATTTGCCAAGGGTCCTTCAAAGTCAACGTGTATTAGATGAAATGCACGATCGTGTCCTTTCTCTGAGTAACACATGCAATTAGGTCCCTTCCAGCAAAGACTGCAGCCCGTGTTTTATCTCCAGTGTACAGTTTACTGTTTGGTATGTAACAGGCACTTGGACATCACGTGTGAAGGCTCTTGGGACTCACTGTACAGAATTAATGTTGCTCTAACCACAGCCCCCAGAGACTCTGAACCTGGCTCTGGTTTTACATGTCTATTGCTCAGTAAACCACAAGTGTCTCGAGGGCAAGTCTGCACCCCCAGGTTCTCACGTGCGGCTGTCATGAGTGGATGCTCAGTGACTATTAGTAAACAAATTTCTGCCCAAATCTTTGGCCTCTGCTCAAGTTTTCCTACAATGAAGAAGCAATCTCTTTCTTCTTTAAACTATACACCAATGCACAAATCATCCTATAAAACTGGCCCCAAACACTTTCAGCAACAGATCCTGCGAATTTCTCTCTCCTGTCTTCCTGCTGTCTACTCTGGTGGTTCACAGGCTTCAGTATGGCAGAACAATGCTCCCTCTGTAACTTGCACACCAAGACCAAACAGCTGGTACAAACCCATGGATCAGGACATACCAGCTCAATAGCTTTGTAGCCCTGAATACACTCACCGTAGGGCAGTTTTTAATAGCAATACAATTATGGCATTCACACAATTCTTCATTACAATGCATTCTGTTTTAAACTGTTTTTAAATGCAATTATTTTAAAACAAATATAATTATTACCATAGTTTAAAATGAACCAAACCAGAACCCAAAGGGATTAGAGGGAGGATATAAAACTGTTGAGAAGATATATGTTTGAGGAGCTGTGGTGTCTTATCAGTACCTTCACCTTTAGACCCTGGTACTTGTCTAAATTCTTAAGTAAAACAATGTAGAAAAAGGTCAACTTCGATAATACATGCTTCTATAAGTGTTTACCTCTTTTTGTAATAGAGTTCAATTAGCAGTATTGGATATAGTTCCTGAAGGAGGTGATTTTCCCCCATTTATTTGCTTTTATGATTTAAAGCTAGGGAAATCCGATTAAAAAGCGGATTACAAATTCCTACTAGTGACCTCAGCACCACTGGCGGCAAACATCTGAACGCGTAGCTGTGGACAGAGGAAGGAGAGGATAGCCGCGAGTTCCCTTTCTGCCTTGGGAAGGAATGCTTTCTGCTCTGAGATGATGCTAAAGTACAACTTTTTTTAAAGACCTCCCTGTTAGGTTCCGTAACACTGGCCTTCATAGGTGCCTCAAGACCAGATGTGAATATTTTGCAATTGAAGAAATAGAGTCACTGAAATCAAAGTGTTGTAAATGACAGGACTGCTCAATTGACTAATAGAATATTTCCTGTTTTTTTTTTTTTTTTTAAGAGATGAAATGTAATTTCCTAGTTGACTGTATCTTTGGGCTAAATATGTAATTTAGAAGTCATCTCATCTCTTCACTGCAGAAGAGACCACTTACAAACCAACCCATTAAGATGAGAGACTATCCTATGTTTAAAGATTTTTCAGAGAATGAGATCTTTTATCTGCCTCAGGCCTCAAATTTAATGTTAAATGATTCCCATTACTAGAATATTCTTCCCCAACTCTTTCAAGGTCCATTTTTAAGTTTATTCATCCTTCTAAGACACACCACCCACACAGCAATTTCTGGTGGTAAAGGGGA